CATTATGATTTACAAAATGCTAGTTTGGTTTAAGTTGGACAATCACGCATGGCCCATAAAACACTGTTTAAAAAGAGGCTTAGACTTTCAAAAAAAATTACAGAGGACAGCCATCATCTCTGATTAGAACTGATTGTCTTGAAATTAACTGTCGATAAACTACCTTTGTTTTTTAACTTTATCGGAGTCAGTAGTTAACTGTGGTTGTATCTAGCTTACTATATGGTTTTTACGGTTTTTCACCTCGAGGCTAGTTTAAGTATATCTTAAGATTTTATGCTGCCTGTTTTTATTCGTTTTATTTGTTTTCAGTAGATTACGTTTGTTATCTCATGGTTGTGATCTTTTGCAAAAATTTGTTCAACAACTTTCATTTAACCATGATCACTACAATCACATGTAATAAAACAGAAACTCCTTACAACAGAATAAAACAGGCTGCAAGTGGACATGTGGTACATGCCACATAAATGGAAAAGATTTGTTGAGCATGAAGATCATTCTCCTGATAGGTCCGCGAAAACACTATTGGCAACCCTCTAAAACGGTAGTCCGTAAACGGATAAACAAATAAAGACTCTTAGTAACATAAGAAAGAGGGTCTTCAACAACGTCAATATTGGTAAAAGAAGCGCCAACACAAATGTAGATATGCTGATGTTCAGCGAAGCCGTAACATCGGTGTTGGACTCACGGTAAACTTGTGTTCCTCAACACAGCATCTGCAAACGCAACTTTGGTAACCAACACTTCTGATATAAACGGCTGAGCTCCCATCAACACAAATAAAAGGGATTGAAGGCTACCGTCGAAATCACTGAACGGCATATACATTTACACTCTGCAAACCATTATGTCCCGTGAACAATCCTAAAAATTCTGAGGCAACGTACAACCATAAAGACTCGAACGCTTCGCATCTTCAAACTCAAAGGTTGCTTCCTGACTTAATACAAACGAACCGTTGATGACTGCACATACATGCAGGTCAAAGAAGCAAGAAACCAATGCACAAAGGAGATGAGAGAAGATATGCTTCAGTATCAAACAAGGTAATCGATAGCTTTGTTTTTAGTCAGAAAAACTTATTGTATCATTCAGCTTCTCTTCAACAAACCAAAATCAGCGGTTCCCAGTTGTTAAGTCTCAATGTCCTAACCTTCACTGACAGTGACACCGCCGACATTCTGGAAGGATAATAATTTCAAATGTTTCAACGATCATACAAAAAATACATCGACGAGAGCTTCACTTGTAAGTCAACAGGACTCTCAGAAGTGAACCTGAGAGCTGACTTGTATTATAAACAGTATCTAAACACGGACACTTCATTTAGCTCGGACATGGTTCATTCTACAATGCTGAGGGAAGCAGCTTCAATCTTGGCTAAACCGTCTAGCGTGACCCCACATTTTCCAAACCGAGACACTCTACCATACAATTAGAAGCTGAAGCACATCACACTAATTTTCAAAGGAGATAAACTCGGTCAACTTTTATTGTTGTTGCCCATAGCGCCTCTCTCAATACTGTCAAAAGACATGGAGTCTCTGATATACGGTGGTTTATGTGACTAATTACTATCCATAAACCTCTTTTTACCCCAAAAGTATGGTCACTTTCGTGTAACCAACCTGCTGACCAAAGGGGACTGATGGACAACTATCCTTGCTCGAGGCGGGAAGATAGATGTTATATATCTCGACTTAAAACTTTTGATGGTGTAAACCATATATGTCTCATCAACAAGCTCGAACATTTAGTTGTGAAGTCACAGCTAATATATCGGCACATCTCGTATCTAAATAGTTGATCTGAAGTTGTCATGGTAAACTTGACGTTTTCCCAGGCTATATAATGTCTCACTGGGGCCCCACAGATCTCAGCACTAGGGCTTCTTTCCGTAATTTATGTAAATGACCTACATCATCAAGTATCACCTGATTTATTAATTTTCGCTGACAATGGGATACTTGGGAAGGAAATTTGCAAAGATAATAAGCTGGGACTTCAAGAATATCAGATTAATCCTCAAATTTGTGCTCACAACAACGGACTTACATTCAACACTTCAAATTTTAGGATAATTGATCTGAAACACGTCGCAGACCACGCGTACAACTTAGGTAACTTCCTTTTAGAGGTATGCCAATTTGAAAAGATCGATGAGTGTCGATAGCTTATGACTTAGTCTTACGATAACTGTGGCAAAAATATCTTTCAAGAAAACCTTGCACTGGTACAATTCGTACATTTGTTGACCTAGGCAAGCACAGGAACATTGAAGAAAATCAGACCTCAATATTTCTAATCTGCAAAGATAAGCTACAGACATGTGATGAATATGTTCAGTGATAAGCACATATATACACGTCTGAAAACAATTAAGGTTAATAAACGAATAATTAACAAGGCCGAACTGACTCTGCATACATAAATAGGTCGAGACCGCGAACTTTGAAAGTGGTAACTTTTTTTCACGTGGTTTAGGAATTCTTCGACTTGCTCTTTTGTAGGGTGTATTATACTGTGATTATCATCTTATCCTGTACATCGGGTACATCTTACTGTGAAAAATAAGGAAAAAACTTATTTTTATTCGACAGACAATTATTAGTTCGTATTGTAGCTATTGCGGACTTAAATCATTAATAGATCTGCAATTTATTATATACTCATAGTCTCTAATCCTAGTATTAACCAGTTTAATACTTAATAACAACTAATACTCAGATATTATATTTAATTTAACGAGCACTGTGCTCACTTGTTTTCATATCATGTCCAATAACTCCATTAAAAGACGATTTTCACCAACTTCTAAGCCAAATAAAAAGTCCAAATCTGTAATCTCTACAACTGACGACTCAGTGCTTGACAATGTCGAATTTTTAACTACTGAAAAATATGTGTATTGTACACAAATGTCTCTATCGTCACTAGATTCTCCATGTCGCAGCCTCTCTATCTCTACGTGCAGTATGCCAACGGTAAGACTGGTTGACATACAAGACACTATACCTAAGTGCATCGAAAAGTCAACACAGTCTACTAGACAGTATGTGCTACCAAGGCCTAAGTCTAAAATTTCAAAAACTAAAGAGTCCAATGGTCCTCCTCATACACACCAAAATACTGATAGATTTAGTAATGAAATCCGACAGCTGCAAAACTCTCTATCCGAAATTAACGGCAAACTTGAGAAATTAGCACCCCTCACTCATATATGGAGCCTTGACACAGATAGAAATCTTGAGCAACTCACTAAAGCTGAGTGTATTTTGGAGTTTGTGGCTGAAGAAGTGACGAAGAGAGTGATGTCCTCCTTCAATGCAGTTGTGTATAACCTTCCCGACCGCACACATCCATCTAAGCTAAGAGATATTTGCCTTAGAGCATGCGGTATGCCGAACGTTAACTGCAAAGTCATCCGCCTTAGAAAAAAGTCAGACAGATCGACTTGCCCCATTTTGTTTATGTTTGGCTGTTGTAACGATGCTAAGCAGTTTATTAATTCGAGCAAAAATATTAGCTCACTAATTCCATACAAAAATATAAAAGTCACTCCAGACCTTACGCCCTGTCAACGTCGTGTAAGAAGACGCGAAGCGATAGAATTGAATGGGAGTGTTACAGTTAATAATCAGTCTGAGACAGTTTGCAACACAGCAAATAGTTTAGAACACACGAACAATAAGCATGACACCACTCCACATACGGCTGATCACTTTGTTGATCTAGATGAGTCTACAGATCAGAAAACTTTGGATAAGATACGGACCCCAACTGACACCAAAAACCATAACGACATGACTAATCCCAGCTGTTCGTTCAGTAATGTACTAAAATGTGAGTCGTGTAACAACACACGTGCAACCAAACCTATACACTTGAAAATTTGTCCTCCTACAGATATTCCACAAGTAGACTTGAATGAACGTAAGTTCATCTCACAAAGACAACGAAAGGCTCCAGCTCTGAAAATAAAGGGTGGGAAGACAAAACTCATGATACCGAGTAGGGAAACACGTAAGATTGAACCCAACTGCTCTATAGGTATCCCAAGAACAGTGAACAGGTTCTCCCCGCTGCTATCGTATAACTTGCCTTCAGCACCTCCAAGTTGCGAAATGGGTGGTGGGCTTCAACGTAGCAAGCCTTCTTACACACAGACTAGTGAAAACTACCGGAGAACTGCCCACCCAAATCACCCCCTGAAGCCTAAAACCATAAATACGAATGGTAATAATAGGTTTCTCACTCCACACCCTACCTACATTCCCCAGGACCGCAACTGTAATTACTCTCAAAAAGAAAACTTGTCATACCCTTGTAGCGGTAAATAAATCCCCAAACTAAATAGCTCAATAGGTTTTCGACATTGGATGCTGACCATATGTTTTAGTGGACTCATCTAGCTGAAGGCGCTCGGTCATGCATCCGCACCAGATCACGTGCTGTCACGCTGTGCTCAACAACAATCGCAATCACTAGCCAGATTAGATCAGAGATTCCCGATATATTGGTTATTGCCAAATACACTCTTCCGATCTCCTCGACTCTGTCTTTTGATTTCTCTCGGTGGGAACAAAGCATATTAGAAGGTGTTATTGGTAGAAGCGTTGTCAAACACTGAATACCTGTATCATCTTCATTGGTGAGACCGTCGTGATCTGGTACACCTAACTGCAACTGTGAGTCTGTTCCTTTTTGGGATTTTTATATATTATTACCTTTTTTTTAAACATTGTGATTTTTTTTTTCGTGTTTTTTCCTTGGATATATATATATTTTCCCCTCGTTCATTATCTTACTTCATATTTCATCATGGCTGAACAGACACCCAAAGTACTCAAGCTTAAGACTTTGTCCCCGCCTTCGTTTCAACTCATGCCTTTCTGGCCCGACAATATCGAAGCCTGGTTCTGCTACGCAGAAGCTGACTTCTCCGAGCACGGCGTGATCGACACACGTGCACAATTCCTCGCAGTAGTCAAGGCACTACCGCGCGAATTCAACAGGTACGTAACACCTAGTATGTTTACTAGTGATGTTTCTGAACCTTACGAAACCCTAAAACGTTCGATTCTTAAACGAGGAGACCTAACCGATCGACAAAGGTTAGATCAACTCTTCAATAACATCGACCTGCAACACGGTTCTGCGACTGACATGTTGCAAAGAATGAGAGAAGTGATAGGCCTAAGGACTTTCGACGGAGGTCTATTTAAACAACTTTTCTTGTCTAAACTTCCTCAACAGGTGCAAGCGGTTCTGGTCTCATTTCAGAACAACGCCTTAGACGAGCTAGCTGCATCTGCCGATCGTATTCTAGAAATAACGAAATCGTCTACTTCAGAGGTATTTTCCGTCAAAGAAAAGCCTCACGCGACTCAGAATGACATAACCGAGTTATGTCATACACTCACGCGTTATCTTAATCTTCGTAACGACCGTAGTCGCTCACGCAGTCCACGTAGAAGCATTTCGCGTAAACGATCTGTCTCTAGACCACGAGAGACGGATAACCCTGACTGGTGCTGGTATCATAACCAGTATGGGAAATCTTCCAGAAATTGCAGAAAACCCTGCAATTTTCCCAACACGAAAACGACTGACTCGAAAAACAATTCGGGAAACTTACAAGCCGGCACGCGTTAACGGCAACCGTAGCCGGCGAACATAGCCGTCTGTTGTACGTCACAGATGTGACAACGAGAGTTCGCTACCTCGTCGACACTGGCGCAGAAGTTAGCGTTCTCCCAGCAAATCATAACGACCGGCTCCACGAATCAACTCTAAACTTACAGGCGGCAAATGGAAAACCAATCGCCACGTATGGCAAAAGGTACGTCTACCTTAACGTGGGTTTACGCAAACCCATCCATTGGATTTTCGTTGTTGCAGATGTTTCTATGCCAATCATTGGTATGGATCTTCTACAACATCATAATCTAATCATCGACACGCGCAAACGGAGGCTAGTAGATGGAAACACTAAATTATCCGTTTGCGTAACTTCTTTTTCTGGTTGTAGATTATCCCCAGTCACAGTTAAGCATATGATAGACCCACTCTATCAACCACTACTCGACAAGTACCCTGGGATACAACAAGCTCAAACGAAACTACCGTGTGTAACCAGCAATGTTACACATCACATCACGACTACAGGACCACCTGTATTCTCTAAAGCACGACGACTAGCTCCGGAAAAGCTGAGGTTAGCGAAAAACGAATTCGATCATATGATAGACTTAGGAATCATACGACCGTCAAACAGCCCTTATGCATCTCCGTTGCACATGGTCCCTAAAAAGGACAGCAACGATTGGCGTCCAACTGGTGACTATCGGCGATTGAATGCAAAAACCATTCCCGATCGTTACCCGTTGCCTCACATTCACGATTTGACAGCTACCTTGAAAGGTACAACTGTCTTTTCAAAAATCGACTTGGTTAAAGCGTATAACCAAATTCCCATGGCCACTGACGACATACCGAAAACAGCTATCATAACTCCTTTCGGACTCTATGAATTTTTGCGAATGCCGTTCGGTCTAAGAAACGCTGCGCAAACATTCCAAAGATTCATTGACGACGTCTTTCGAGGTCTCAACTTCGTACATGCGTATGTTGATGACTGCTTAATCGCAAGTCCGGACAGAGAATCACATCTCAAGCATCTGGATCTTGTTTTCGAACGATTACAAAAACATGGCATTACTGTAAACGTTCAGAAATGCCAATTCGGAACCGATTCGTTAGATTTCCTAGGACACACTATCGATGCTCAAGGCATTCGACCTCTTAGGACCAAAGTGGCGGCCATTCTGGATTACCCAGAACCGACCAACGTCAAGCAACTACGCACGTTTAACGGCCTGGTAAGTTTCTATAGACGCTTCATACCGAAATGCGCATTACTTATGAAACCTCTTACTGACCAACTGCGTGGAAATGCGAAATCCATTAATTTGGACGACACCGCACGAAAAGCATTCTCCACAGTTAAGGAACTGATCGCTAAAGCAACAATGCTCGCACATCAGGACACTGAAGCACCCATTAGTATCGCAGTAGACGCATCCGACTCGGCAATCGGAGGAGTCTTACAACAATGGATTAACAACTCCTGGCAACCCTTGGCATTTTTTTCTAGACGGTTGCTAGACACCGAATCGAGATACAGCACATTCGGTAGGGAACTCCTAGCTATGTATTGTGCTGTACGGCATTTTCAACACTATATCGAAGGCCGCGAATTCACTCTATTCACTGACCATAAACCGCTCACTTTCTCGTTAAGCTCTCCTTCTGACAAGTACTCTCCCCGTGAGTCTCGACAACTGGACTACATTTCGCAGTTTACTTCAGATATTCAACATATTTCTGGAGCAAACAATGTAGTTGCAGACGCCTTGTCTCGAATAAACTCCTTGAACAGTTTCCAAGGAATCGACCTTCTTAAACTCGCCCAGCTTCAAAAAGAAGACACTGATCTTCAGCAAGAGTTATCGTCCACAACCCTTAAACTACGCATCAAACAGATGGGAACAGGTAAGGAAACCTTACTTTGTGACACATCTACAGGTAGAGATCGCCCAATCGTTCCGAAACATTATCGACGCAATGTCTTCAACACATTGCACAAACTTTCTCATCCAGGTGTTCGTGCAACCATCAAGCTCATAGCAGAACGCTTTTGCTGGCCTGGTATGAATAAAGACGTGAGGGAGTGGGCACGCTCCTGTGTAAGCTGCCAAAAATCTAAGGTCATCAGACACAATAAATGTCCCTTAGGCTCATTTAAAACTCCCGATGCTCGTTTCGACCATGTTCATCTGGATTTGGTAGGACCTTTACCAGATTCAAATGGATACTCTTACCTCTTAACCTGTGTAGACCGTTTCACTCGATGGCCAGAAGCAGTACCTATCAAGGACATCACTGCTGAAACAGTGGCCCGAACCTTCGTCGAACGATGGGTAGCAAACTTCGGTTGCCCTTCAACCATCACTACAGACCGCGGACGTCAGTTTGAGTCTGAACTTTTCCATCGTCTGACCACACTATTAGGAAGCACTCGCTTCCGAACGACCGCCTACCACCCACAAGCAAACGGGTTGGTAGAACGCTTTCACCGACAACTAAAAGCTTCACTATCAGCTGCAAACGTTTCACAGTGGACCGACGCTCTTCCACTCGTCTTACTAGGTATCCGCAATGCAGTGAAAGCTGACATTGGATACACTGCAGCTCAACTCGTTTATGGAACGACACTTCGACTTCCAGGAGAATTCGTGGATCCTTCATCCTCTTCATTGAGCATGGATCTAACCTCTTACACGAACAGGCTTACAAACGCAATGCGTTCAGTTAAACCTGCTTCCACTCGACCTCAATCAACTGATGTTTTCATTCAACCTGAGTTACGATATAGTACACACGTTTTCGTTCGTCGAGACTCGCATCGACGACCTTTCGAATCAGCATACGAAGGACCTTTCAAAGTTCTTCAACGCGAACCGAAGTACTATATAATCGATAAGAACGGAACCAACGACAGCATCAGCATCGATCGCCTCAAAGCAGCGTATTTAGAAGGAAATCCTATCTACGTGGATTTTCCTTCGGTACAATTGAACGACACGACTCCGACACTTATAATACCTCATCCGACAACCAACACTCATGATGATACTTCGACAGTATCCGAAAATAAACTTAAAACGACGCGTTCTGGAAGAAGAGTGAGATTTCCAGAACATTTAAATGACTATTGCACGTAAGGCACTTCTCGACATTTTCTATATTATTTAAAAAATAATTTTTTTTTAAATAGGTTTATATATTTTCATTTCTATTTTTAAAAACAAAAACAAAAAAAAAACGATTTTACGAGTTTATTTTCCTTTTTTTACGCACATACGAGTGTATTTTCGACATGCACTTACATTTTCTTTCTTCTTTTCCAGGACGGCTGGAAAAGAACGATGACGTTTATGAGGATACGAAACTTTCATTGTACATTTCTTTTTTTACTATGTTGTACCCCGGTCCCATATAGTAAGGAAAGACGACCAGACGCTGCTAAATTTAGTAAGCTATCAGAAGAGTGTTTACCAACGACAAACGCGTTGGGTTTAAACTTCTGGCTGGCCACGTCTTAGGGTCATCACTGCCCCACTAGGGGGGGGAGTGATCTGTAGCGGTAAATAAATCCCCAAACTAAATAGCTCAATAGGTTTTCGACATTGGATGCTGACCATATGTTTTAGTGGACTCATCTAGCTGAAGGCGCTCGGTCATGCATCCGCACCAGATCACGTGCTGTCACGCTGTGCTCAACAACAATCGCAATCACTAGCCAGATTAGATCAGAGATTCCCGATATATTGGTTATTGCCAAATACACTCTTCCGATCTCCTCGACTCTGTCTTTTGATTTCTCTCGGTGGGAACAAAGCATATTAGAAGGTGTTATTGGTAGAAGCGTTGTCAAACACTGAATACCTGTATCATCCTCACCCTTTACTACCGACCCCTCACATAACAACGGCTCCCACGTATATCAACAGTCGCAACTCCCAGTTACGCGTAGCAGACCCCTCTCACGCTAACGTAAATAGCCATAACAGAGGCTACGAGTCTAACCATCAAGACTATTTTGTAAATAACCATACACTTCACAGTAGGCCTGTACAAGATTTTTTTGGAATAAGACCCCTAGTGACACCTCTGTTGAAGCATATAGCCCAGGTTATTTCAAACCATATGCAAACCATAAATTTGTTTCCTTCGTACAGTTTCCATCACAGAGTACTCCCACCCTTTCCTCCTGGGTAAACTCCCCAATCAACTTCACTAGCTCATTTGATACATCTCCCACTAAATCTAGCTATCAAAATACCGAGCTAATGAAGAACATTCAATCCCTCATTTCAAACTCATCTCACACCCGCGAGGGTTACGACGACTTTATCCGAGATACCCTCAACCATTTTAACTTAGTAGGCCACTTGCTTAATATATGTCTTATCAACGCTCGGTCGATCTGCAACAAAAAGACGGATTTAGCCCTGTTTGTATCCATATATCAACCATCAGTTATTATGATATCTGAAGCATGGACTAACAGTAATATTTCCGACCAAAGTATATCTTTTGATAACTATTTCCTGTATAGAAGTGACAGATTGAATGGACGAGGCGGAGGATGCCTTATTTACGCTCACTCTAGCCTAAACTCACTACTATGTGATATGCCTGAACTAAACAAACTGAAGGATTCGGTGTGGATTGTATTAAAGCTGTCGAATTCCGTTACCTTACTGCTCGGCTGTGTTTATCGTCAACCTAACGCATCAATAGATGATATGGCAGTATTATCGGAGGTATTCACACTAGCATCATCCCTCTCATTCACAGGCAAGCTCATTTGTGGTGACTTCAATATGCCCGAAATTTCTTGGCTGCCAGTCAAAGCGCCGAGACGTTATGAATCATTTATTGAATGTCTAGAGCTCGGACAATGGACTCAGTATGTCGATAGCCCTACCAGACATCAAAACATCTTGGACTTAGTCTTTACCAGTGGCCTCATCCCCAATACTTTGTATATTGGAAAAAAGTTCCCAGGTAGTGATCATAACATTGTCATATGCAGCCTTAATGTAAAAACCACAACCAATAGAAGCAAAACCGTAACACTTCGTAGAAACTATCGCAAGGTTGATTGGAATAACTTCCACAATTACCTAAGAAGCACTGATTGGGGAACTTTCTTTACCTCAAACAATACCGACACATTAACCAATATATTTTATCACAACATCAAAAGTATCATCAACAACGTCGCACCTTTAGAATACTGTAAACCTGCGTTCTCCAAAGATCTCTATATACCGGTCAGTACAAGAAGACGTCTTCAAAGACATTGTACTCAATTCCACAACTTAAATGACTTTTCCTCTTTAGTAACGATGACAGAAATACTTGTCCGAACAGAGGCAATAAGTAAACAAAAAGCAGTAGCACAGGAAAAACGTGCAGTTGAACTTAATGATAACTCCTCTGCACTCACCATACTACTCCAAAATAAACTTAAACGCTCTAAATCGAGAGGGAGTATATTCATTAAAGGCAAACAAGTATACGAAGATCCTAAACTTGTCACAGAATTATTTAGTGAACATTTTTGTTTCTCACTAACTAACGAAAAACCATTTAATGATTCAGAACCAATCCCAGTAACTCCCTGTGAAATTACTAATGTAGAATTCAGTGTACAAAATATCTCCAAGGCAATCAGTACATTGAAACACTCATACACTGATGGACCAGATGGTATTCCATCTAGCATGCTAAAACGTGGAGGTGATGATATGTATGTTTTGCTTCTCAAACTATTCGCGATATCACTCTCTTCAGCGTGTTACCCCACTGCCTGGAAAACTACACATATCATTCCCAAAATTAAAACAGGACCTGAAGCAAACGTTGAAAATTACCGGCCTATAAACATAACTTCAGTGGTATCCAGAGTGATGGAAAAAGTAGTTAAGGCGGCTGTAGTCCAACATCTAATAACTAACAATCTCATCTCGACCTCCCAGCATGGATTTCTTAGGTCCAGATCATGCGATACATGCCTAGTAGACTACCTGAATGATATAACTATGAAACGAGACAGCGGACTCCTTGTATCAGTTCTATTCCTAGACTTTAAGAAAGCCTTTGATAAGGTCCCACACAAAAGGCTACTCGTCAAACTAAAGTCCTTCGGAATACACAACCCACTGTACTCATGGTTTGCTTCGTTCTTAACAGAACGTAAACAGATGGTACAGTACAATGACTGTCTCTCGTCCCCTAGGCCAATCACCAGTGGAGTCATCCAGGGAAGCGTATTAGGTCCACTTTTGTTTCTTATGTATATAAACGATATATGTAACACCATAGAATTTGAGAGACCATACTTATATGCTGATGATCTCAAAATAGTATACAGCTATAAGCCTGAGACACTAAGCGAAAGTGTATCCCAGATCCAAAAGGACCTCAATAACTTAACTATCTGGAGTGAAAAATGGCAATTACCATTAAACCTCAACAAGTGCGGGATCATGCACTTTGGAAAGCATCCCTATAAACCGCAACTTCACTTAAATGAAAGTAGGGTCCAAACACTCGAATCAGTACGCGATTTAGGAATTAATTACACAGGAAGCCTGAACTTTGAAGAACATGCCTCCTCTATTATTTCTAAATCTAGACGGCTAATTGGCTTTATAATGAAAAACTTTTTCACAACAGAGGGTAAACTTACTCTCTACAAAATATGTGTAAGACCCTCCCTTGAATACTGCTCTTTTGTATTCTCTAATATGAATATCACAGACAAGATAAGAGTAGAAGATGTTCAAAGACGTTTCACACGTCAACTACTAGGATGCAACTCGAATCTTGATTACACAGACAGATGTAAGCATCTATCTTTAGAACCCTTATGGCACCGTAGGCTAAAAAACAATTTAATATTTCTCTACAAAGCGATATATGGGCTCTCCTTTCTAACCTCCTGCCCGACTATTACCCACGACCCAGCCTATAGACTTAGAAACAACGCATATACACTACTTACCGTAAAACACCAAAAACAAATGCGTTGTAAGTTCTTTACAGTACGGTACAGTTTATTGTGGAACAGGCTGCCAATGCCTATCCGTAATTGTGATACGTTTATCAGATTCAAAAGGCTAATAACCCTATTCCTAGACTCCAAAGAGCTTCAACATTTCCTTGAACTCCCGCCCACCAATGAGGCACTTTATTACGGACCGCCTAGTATCTAGAAAGAACAAAATTATAACAAGTCCGACTGTTACTAATATGAATATAACCAAATCACAGAACATATGGCTTATCCTTTCCTATTATTAATTGTTTATTAATCATGACTTCATGCTCCTAACCCTAGCTTTCAGTTCCCAAATCTCTACAGGTTAAATCTACATTATTCTTCCTAAAAGTCATGCCTTTTTTTTATTCCACTGCAAGTAGACAGATAGCTCAATCTTATGAATGCTGATCTACTAAGGCCGACCATTCAAAGTTCAAAATTTGGCCACAACGTCTTGTGAGTTTCTCAATGTTTTATTTGTCTTACCCTGAAATTTTTTTTTCTACGATTTTATACCCTCTCATATCTTTTGATTTGCTATTAGTCCTTACTTCTTTAAACCATTAGTTATTTTCATAGCAGTGTGATATACTATGTGGACATCTAACCCATAAAACAAATTTTTTTAACTATCTGATTTGCTTGTAACATGGACCTAGTAGAGACAGTGTATTCCAACTATGGGCTTTGATTAAAGCAGTATTCATACTTACCACAAACGTAAGAGAGCCTAACATCACAAAAGGAGGGAGGGTGGCGTTACTGACCAGCAAACATGAAGGTGGGGAGATAACTTCAATCCACCCATGTCTGTAGGGCAGAACATTTTGTTTAATTACGGCTCCTTATGGTTTAGTGGGATGCCACGAACTTATGGTATTGAAGCTGATCTATTCACGCAAAATACCTCTTTAAGTCGTGTTACGAACGTTGAATTGGTTTCACTTCCTACCTAGAAATCCTATTGCAAACAAACTAGACAATTCGCTAATATACGAAGCCTAATCAAGACCCTATAATAACTGGGGGAAAAATATTTAAAATAAACGAAAGAGGCTCTAATAGCTTCGATATTAAAGGGAAGACAGCCAAATGTATATCACAATACTGTTTCTAGCACTATATTTTATTTTATAATCACACATAATCTTATACTCTCAGCTCTTTTCCGAATCGCCCCCATTTGTCAGTTGTATGTCCACTCACACCTTGTCAACAGTTATTTTCTTTAACATATTAAAATGCTCTTTCTTAACATATACCTTAATAAAGGAAAATTAGACTGAGTAATCATACCTTAAGCATTCTTTCATGAATATTGGCTACTCTGCCTCTCGTGTTTTTTTTTACTTGCTCTCTCTTTCAGCCCCCTTGAGATATGGAACTGGTGACTTCATCCTGCACCATCCTTAAAGCCTTGGATATCCCAGAAGGAAATAAGGTTGCGATTTTTAGAAGCCCATACCTTCAATGGACCTATCCTTGACCATCAGTCGCACATTCGCAACGCGACTTTCATGATGCGCGCCAACTGTAGTACTGATTTAAACCATCGACATTCATATCTTATAAATTATCAACCCAGCTATGTAATTTATTGCAGTGTATATTGTATCATTTGTATCAATTTGATCTTGCCTGTAAACTGGCATGCCTCATGTAACAAACTGTTATTTGAGAATAAATTATTATTATTAAATTGGCCTATACCGGATTCAGAATAACCCATGTGGTCTTGATACAGCACTAGCCTCTACAAAGTGAAGATGACACCATTATTTGGAGTTTGACAACGCTTTTAACAGTAGTTGTATGTCGAAATAAACTCGTGCTCACTTTAAAACACAAAGTAGGAGAAGAAAGGAAAATAAACTTATGAAATGTGATAGCGCAAAAGCAATTTTTAAAATATGTTCTTTTTAAAAAATTTTAATATACATATTAGCAAACTAGTAAATATATATAAATATAAGCATATGAAAATTGATTATTTTTAGTATTATATATAATGCCATGGAAAATCGAGATGAAGCAAAATGTTAACTGGTGTCTTACGTGCAATAGTCGGTTAGGTGTTCTGGAAATCTTACTCTTCTTCCAGAACGCGTTGTTTTAAGTTTACTTCCAGATACTGACGAAATGTCATCGTGCGTGCTGGCTGTCGGATGAGGAACCGTGTCGTTTGACTGTACCGGACGAAAATCGATGTGGATGGGACTTCCTTCTAAAAACGCTACTTTAAGTCAATCAGTGCTGATGCTATCGTTTGTTCCGTTCTTATCGAATATATAGTACTTAGATTCGCGTTGAAGAACTTGGAAAGGTCCGTCGTATGCTGGGGTCGTCGATGCGAGTCTCGACGAACGAAAACGTGTGAACTATATCGTAAGTTAGGTTGAACGAAAACATCGGTGGATTGTGGTCGAGTGGAAGCAGGTTTAACTGAATGCGTCGCGTTTGTAAGCTTGTTCGTGTAGGAGGTTAAATTCATGTTCATTGAAGAGGAAGAAGGATCCACGAATTCTCCTGGAAGTCGAAGTGTCGTTCGATAAACGAGTTGAGCTGCAGTGTGTCCAATGTCAGCTTTCACTGCATTGCGAATACCTAGTAAGACGAGTGGAAGAGCGTCGGTCAACCGTGAAACTTTCGCAGCTGAAAGTGAAGCTTTTAGTTGTCGGTGAAAACGTTCTACCAACCTGTTCGCTTGTGGGTGGTAGGCGGTTGTTCGGAAGCGAGTGATTCCTAAAAGTGTGGTCAGACGACGGAAAAGTTCAGATTCAAACTGACGTCCGTGATCTGTATTGATGGTTGAAGGGCAGTCGAAGTTTGTTACCCATCGTTCGACGAAGGTGCGGGCCACTGTTTCAGCAGTGATGTCCTTGATAGGTACTACTTCTGGTCATCGAGTGAAACGATCTACACAGGTTAAGAGGTAAGAGTATCCATTTGAATCTGGTAAAGGTCCTACCAAATCCAGATGAACATGGTCGAAACGAGCATCGGGAGTTTTAAATGAGCCTAAGGGACATTTATTGTGTCTGATGACCTTAGATTTTTGGCAGCTTACACAGGAGCGTGCCCACTCCCTCACGTCTTTATTCATGCCAGACCAGCAAAACCGTTCTGCTATGAGCTTGATGGCTGCACGAACACCTGGATGAGAAAGTTTGTGCGATGTATTGAAGACATTGCTTCGATAATGTTTCGGCAAGATTGGGCGATCCCTACCTGTAGATGTGTCACAAAGTAAGGTTTCCTTACCTGTTGCCATCTGTTTGATGCGTAGTTTAAGGGTTGTGGACGATAACTTTTGCTGAAGATCAGTGTCTTCTTTTTGAAGCTGGGCGAGTTTAAGAAGGTCGATTCCTTGGAAACTGTTCTAGGAAGTTATTCGAGACAAGGCGTCTGCGACTACATTGTTTGCTCCAAAAATATGTTGATTGTCTTAAGTAAACTGCGAAATGTAGTCCAGTTGTCGTGACTCACGGGGAGAGTACTTGTCTGAAGAAGAGCTCAGAGAGCGGTATAGATTCAGTGAAAAAGGTTAATTCACGGCCTGTGACATAGTGTTGAAAGTGCCGTACAGCACAATACATAGCGAGTTCCCTACCGGATGTGCTGTTCCTCGATTGAATTTCTAGCAACCGTCTAGAGAAAAATGTCAAAGGTTGCCAGAAGTGGCTAACCCATTATTGTAAGACTCCTCCGATTGCTGAGTCGGATGCGTCTGCTGCGATACTAATGGGTGCTTCGGCGTCCTGATGAGCAAGCACTGTAACTTGCGAGATACGTTCCTTAGTTGTGGAGAATGCTTTTCGTGCGGTGTCGTAAAATTAATGGATTTCGCATTTACACGAAGTTGGTCGATAAAAGGTTTCATAAGTAATGCGCATTTCGGTATGAACCGTCTATAGAAACTTACAAGGTCGTTAAACGTACGTTTCTGGGTAATCCAGAATGGCTGCCACTTTGGTTCTAGGGGGTTGAATGCCTTGCACATGTATAGTGTGTCCTAGGAAGTCTAATGAGTCAGTTCCGATTTGGAATTTCTGAATGTTAACAGTAATTCCATGTTTTTGTAGTCGTTCGAAAACAAGATGCAGATGCTAGAGATGCGATTCTCTGTCCAGATTTGCTATTAAGTAGTCATCAACATACACATGTACGGAGTTGAGACCTCGAAAAACGTTGTCTATGAATCTTTGGAATGTTTGAGCAGCGTTTCTTAGACCGAAAGGCATTCGCAAAAATTCATAGAGTCCGAAGGGAATAAGTATGGTGGTTTTCGGAATGTCATCAGTAGCCATAGGGATTTGGTTATATGCTTCTACCAAGTCGATTTTCGAAAAAACAGCTGTGCCTTTCAAGGTAGCTGTCAAATTGCGAATATAAGGCAACGAGTAACGATCAAGTATGGTTTTTGCATTCAGTCGCTGATTGTTATCATTTGGACGCCAATCGTTGGTGTCCTTTTTAGAGACCATGTGCAACGGAGATGCCCATGTGCTGTTTTAAGGTCTTATGATAATTAAGTCTAACATCTGTTCAAATTCGTTTTTCGCCAACCCTAGCTTTTCGGGAGCTAGACGGCGTGCTTTAGAGAATACAGGTGAGCCTGTAGTCGTGATGCGATGTGTAACGTTGCTGGTTACACACGGCAATTTCGGTTACGATTGGTATATCCCAGAATACTTGTCTAGTAGTGGTTGATAGAATGGGTCTATCGTGTGCCTAATTGTGACTGGAGATAATCTGCAACCAGAAGAATAAGAAGTTATGCAAACAGATAAATTAGTGTTTCCGTCTACTACCCTCCGTTTGCGCGTATCGATGATTAAATTGTGGTGCTGTAGGAGATCCATACCAATGATTGACATGGAAACACCTGCGACAGCGAAGATTCAGTGTATGAGTTTGCGTAAACCTGTAGTGGCATTGGACCATAACCACACAATCCTCAAAGCTGAGGATATATTTAACGCGAAGAAATACCTAACGATGGAGATGGCGCGACTAATGAATTGAATAGACTAGAGTTGATCGAACGGCATGGCTCGGCCATGCAGGCGTGGTCTCTGCTGAATGTTACCTTATATCTTCTTTTCATATTAAATATATTGTTCTTTCTCTAGCCTAATCTTGTTCTACATCATGTATTGGTAATTGATACGATACAGTGAGTTGGTGTAGTCGATGGTGTGACTTCCACGTAAGATCTTATAGATTAGGCAGTCATATCATGACAAATCTACAAATTTAGGATTAGGTCTATTATTAGAGCAGTACTAATATCATAGTAGATTATAATTCTACATTGGTGAGCCCAACTAAAGAAACGCAACCTAATATTGTTAATCCTTATTTCCACCTTAACCTTCTCAATCGGTTTTTATTTTTGTAAACCCAGTATTCTAATAGTCCTTTGATTAATGGTCACATATATTATCGCAATGTTATATCTATTAGTTCACATAACTTACTAGCTCGATCGATAATACAAGCTGAGCATCTATATCAACTAATTAGCATTGATGGTTCGTTAACAAGCTTTAATAGCATTTACCTGCTTCAGCGACATAAACTTGTTTAAACATCAAGCTCTAGCAATTATGACCTGTAAATAACGTAAATATACATTGACTAACAATGCAATCAAGGACTAAATAGTTATCTGGATCTAATTCTTAGTGTTCCTTCGCTTAACACCTCATCCTGTTTTAAACTATGCACTATCCTGTAAAATCTTTTCTTCCGACCACTGCCTGCCTAATTTCATATTCTCGAGTTCCATTGCCAAACAACAAGGATGATACTTCTCTAAAAACATACGGTGAGTTTCAGCCATAAGTTTTCTGCAATCATAAGTTCATTTTAGATGGCTCGTTCAATGGGGACCACACAATGATCTGAATTCATTCTGTTGTTCTGATCCGAGTGAGTGGCAAAAACGTCAACAACATCAAGCACCCTGGAATTAATTGCCATACTGCATGTTTTATTGTGGATACTTTTGGATCGTTACTCCTCACGAATGGCGTTATATATGTCGTCCACTGAATAATCTAATTTTCAAAAATAATCCAGGCGAGTTCAACTATTTCACTTAATTATTTTTCGTACCTAACATGTATATGTTTCCTAGCTCCTTTTGCCATATATTTGTAAGTGTCCCTAGGCTAAATGCAGTAACTTCTTATAGAATGTTTATAACGCGTCATATTCCTGCCTAAAGTTTCACAAGCAGTCTTAACTTTAAAATTGTTTTTCTGATCATGTTCATTATTTTTAAATCGTCATATACGTCAACAACCTGCATGTTAACCTGGTTCATACATACGTTACACTATATCTCCATGTCTTCTAAATTTAGAAATCATCTGGATCGCCTCTAACATTTATTAATAAACCCATCATAGTCGTTGTTGCTAATCGTATTTGGATTTATGGATTGGTTTATCATATTATCAGTCTAAAATGCAAACATAATTTAGATAATAAGATTAAAAATTTAGGTACTATCAACTGCACTAGTAAAATTACTAAATCCTCAGGTAGTTGTTGGTTGAACAAACTTTTAAAATCTAAACTCCGTAGCCTACTAGAATTAACATTAAACAAATATTTCTGAATTGAAATTTATAATTAAATTAGGCGTCTCGGGTTTTTTTAACGTTACAAATTTCTGATAATTTTGA